TTTAAAAAAACTTATAATACAATACTTATACAAAGTTATTTAAAGGTGAATATTCTATTAATTATTTACAATACATTCAATAATTAATCGCAACCGCTACAAACATATTTAAAAGAAATTCATTGAAAAATTCTATTCAATATCAATTAAAAATTCAACAACAACAATACAATTAGCTGTAATAGTCTTGTGTTTAATCTTAAAAATATCTTCCGATGTATAATAAGTGAACAGCAGAGCTAAAAATTATATAGACAAATATAAGTAAAAATAGTTCTAGCACAAGTTAGCTTTTTTTTTACCTTGAACTGCTAAAGTGAACTCGCAAATGCCTGTGTTTCCAGAGGAATCTGTTGCTTCATATCGGATAGTGTAAGTTCCTATTGCAAATATGTCATTTGACGAATATGTCATAGTTTCAGATACAATTTGAACATTGTCTGACGGGGATGATACTGTCCACGAGACCTGTGTTTCGTTTGAAGAAGGTGACGCAATTACGGTGAACGAATTCGGGCATACTTCATATGTTGGATCCTCATTGTCTTCAAAAGAACAATATTTATGAAAATGTTTACAATTCATATATAATAACGATAATAAAAAAATTGACAATAATACTAATGATAATAATAATGATAATGCTGATGATTGATAATGACGATAATAATGGCAGTTGCGTTTATTACCACCCGTTACACTTTAATTAGTTTTTGTATTTCCCTTTATTCTGTTAATATGAACCTTTATGATCAGTTAGTTCTAAGCTCTATATTTTGTTATAAATATCTTGTAATGTTAGTTAGTTGTCTGTTAGTTTTAGCTCCATATTAACTTGCAATTCATACAGCAACTCTGTAAATAATACGGTCCTGTAAGACTACCGGTACCATACCACATAGACCTACATGCCATGTTGATAAATTTTACTTTGTATATACATTTTAGCTTAATTTACTCCTAGTTTAAGTTTATTATTTTTCTCTTATATTTGGATGCACCGTTGGGTATTGTCCAACGTGTGCCACTGTTACGAAAGTGATATCCATTAAATTGATTGATTGATTGATTGAGTACCAGCTAAGCATATCTGCAACATAATTTTAACCTTCTGATTTTGAAATTAAAAACAATGAAGTCATATGTGAGTATTTTGATATTATGATTACACATGCCACCATATTTTGAATTAGTTTATGTGACTGTTTCTTTGAAGGTCTGTATAATAATGAAAACTCACTGATACAATATATTTGCAAAATGAATAATTAATAATGTATCGTTTTTATTTAAAAACCAAAATAAAATCATTAACAAAAATAAAAAATAATTTTGCATCCATTTCCACGAGCAGGAAACATAAGCTCAATAAAAGCCTTGTATAACAAACTTCTCTGTTGTCACACGCCTTCACTCGAGGTTAAGCCTAGTACAATGCGGAGCAGATAATTGTAGGCCTACACAATACTTTTTTGGTGGTGATCGGGCAGGATACAATACCGTACTCTTTTCCGAGTAGTAAACTGCGTTCTTTAACGTTTTCCGTGATTCACGACACACTAAATGGATACCACCCCGCTTAAATAACTGAGCTGTGGTAATTAACAATATTTCAAGACATACCGTAAGTGATATGTTGAACATAAACATGTAGATTATACAGTATATGTTTTAAAAGCAAATGTAATTAAAGGGTAGCACCTTGTTTTGAATAATGAATTTATTTGTGACATTAGATATAAATACCTTCTTCATGTGTGCTACCTGAGCCTGCCTGTTTCTCAAATAAATTAGTTAAAGCAATGTTCTTTTTATTTTAATTGTTTTCATTGATACCGTAATACGACTAATATTATGGCTCATATTATAGATTACTTTGTACTAATGTACAATATAAAGTTAGTTTACTAGGAATCAATTCATCAAAAAATTACCTGTAACTACAACCTCAAATATACATTCCGCATAGTTTCCCGATCGATCTGTTACATTGTTGTAGATTGTGTGTGTTCCTACAGGTAGGTCAACAGGAGATAAATGGCTGTTGTATTCTTGATTGACTTGGTCATTATCCTGGATAACCAATGTTCTCCAAACGACTGAAGATGTGTTCAAACCAACGTCAGTATTGAAATTACGCTGACCGGGACAATTGGTGTACACTGGAGGAGTATCGTCTGTTTTTCACAACAATGATAACAACCACATTAAATGTGTGGACAATATAATAACTGTCTCTTATACACATCTAGATGTGTATAAGAGACAGAAAAAAGGTACATATACAGTGTTTAAATAAGGACATGATAGAACATCGTAGGCTACCCTGTAGCTTTTCAACGAATAAAGTCCTATAAAAGTCACTGTGTAATAAAATGCCTCCGACGTCTTCCTCAATACAGACAAGATGTTAATATAATGTTATCATAAACTTAAACACAACAATTGTATTTTATCGTACCATAGACGGTGACATAAAACATTACAGATGCCTGGTTTCCAGCTGCATCATATGCAACTATAGTGACGTCAGTAACCCCTATATTAAATGGACTGCCGGATAAATGTTCTGGTACTACTGCAATTACTCCAACATTGTCGTCTACTACAGGCTGGTTCCAGGTAGCAATGGCAGTAGGTCCTGATTCATCAGCTGTTAATGTTATGTTCGGTGGCTGTGTGGTGAACACAGGCGACTGGTCATCTAGACAACAAGTGCATTAACAGTATTATGCCCAAAAGATATTTCTATCCACTATAGATCATAACATGATCTAAAATAATTGTAAAGTTGATTAAAAACAACACAAGTCCAGGGAACAAATCTATGTATTTAAAATGCCAATCATATTATTAATCAGACAGCCAGTGAGTTAAACAATTAGGAAATGTTTAATTGAATCCCCAAGTTAAATATATTATGTTTATTCAAAAATAGGAATACTACCCAAAGCTGTCTTAACACACATTATGTTAGCTCAAACATTTCATCATCGAATTTTTGTTGAACTGTGTGGGAAGTTTTACTGAACAATATGCCAGACACAAGCTACAAGGATCGTGGTAAAAATTTTCCAAATGGTTATAATTATAATAAAAATATATGCATTCTGACAATTACTCCTTTGTATGACACAAAACTATTTAAATATTTATTAAAAATTCGCAAAACAAGACAATCCACATGTACAAATAAGCTAAGAATATTATTTAAAAAAGGAAAATGTAGGCTAATATTGCATGAGCCTATGTATGACAAATTATATGGAATAATCTGCCATATTAGGAACCATGATATCTTTTTAAAAAATCCCATTCAAATCTGAAATTTATAAAATGTTTAGTCAGATTTTTTTTCAATGCTGTAATTTAATAAAGTTGTTACCTCAGACCATATTTTATCCAAATTACAGGTTTATTATCCTGGTCATTAGTAACATTATACAAAGGCAGGACTTGGTGAAACGGTCTGTTAGTCTGCCACCAGTCAACAAATCAATAAATTAATCACACAATGTATAATTAATCAATGAATGCTTATTTTCTAACTGAAAATAATTATAGCATATATGGCCATATATAGATGAAATTAATATAAAAACTTTATGGTGATTTGAAACAACATACCTGTTACAGTAACATAAAATATACAAAATCCTGTGTTGCCACTTAAATCAAAAGCAGTGTAAATGACGGGATTAGCTCCCCCAAATAGATACACGAATTCATCATCTGTTGGCAAAAATAGCATGTAAAATAGCATAGTATTAAAGCATCTGCTAATAATGATTTAGTATAGTGACATTTGATAAATCAAAAGCAAACACACTTTTTAAGATTTCCTTATATACAATTAATTAATAATCAATTAAATACAATACAAATTAAACAATTTTTATTTTAACTGCTAGCATTAACCAATGATTATGTTTATTCTTTAAATTCTTTATTGCAATTTAAAACAAAATTGAAGTAGAACAAAGCATAAAACAAGCAATAAAAATACAAATTCAGTAAAGAAATTTTCCTAAATACTTAAATTAATAAAAATTCCATACAACAAACTAATAAAAACAAAAAAGCCAATAAATTGCAATTAAGTAGAAAAACAAAAATACAGGGAAATTTTTTTTTAAATTTATAATAATACACAATAATTTTCATAATTAAACAAAAAAAAATTCAGATGCAGGTACATTATGTACATAACAATTAATAATGGGTAGAAATACAAAAGTATAGGCAAATTCAATTTTAAATTAACTTTGGTTTAAAACTTAACTTTGGTTTTGCCCAGAATATGTGCCTTTATGCCTTTAGCATGACAGTTCAATTGAAATTAGTATACAGTAAATAATATCAAACATGCCTATACTAATTTAATAGGATGTAATGCAGTTTGATTTATATAGCACATTATACCGGAGTCTCAAAACACTTGAGGTGTTGACTAGCTCCTACAGTAACTTTCTTCTCCCCTAAGGGTCTCTTCATGTCTGAGCTCCCCAGTAAGCCGGTACCTTCTATCACTCCTCTGTCCACAACAGGGGCTGCATGAACCAGTACACCGGGTTAGACCCCTACTTGTGTCAAAAGTACACCGCCAAATTGCGCACCGGACCTATATTATGGCTGTAGGTTGTGGCATCCCTAACTTAACCGCTCGACAATTTGCCTCGCCATAAATGGAGGAATTTGTTTGACATTTAAAATGAAATTCACAAAGTTATGATAACTTATTTGTTAATAATTAGTTGATATTAAATATCAACAAATCATCAGTGTATGTTTGGCGCAGCGTGAAAGGTTTGGTTTCCCAACCTCGAGGTCGGGGTTTCAATCCCTCGCTGTGCATTTCGCTTGTGTCCTTGAGCAAGGCACTTTATCTGCATTGCTTCTCTCCACCCAAGAGTATAAATGGGTACCTGGTGGGGTTGCTTGCTCCTGCGCTGAATACAGCAGCAACACTTAGCATGTGGATCCAATGACCAGGGACAGAAGCGCTTCCTATCTTCAAAGAAAGGCGCTATATAAATAAATATGATTAGATTAGATTATAAAATTTCATAAAATGGCGTACTTGGTTGGAAATTCGAGACTGTAAATGGAGTTCCTGCATTATCAGTTGCCATTGGTGGAGCCCAAGTAACTCTAGCAGTTCGCTTATCCTCATCAGTTGGCTGCGTAATGTTTCCTGGACAATCCATAAACTCTGGTGGTTCTCCATCTGTTATTCCATAAAAAATATAAAAAAGTTAAATTATTATACATCGGCCGACTGAATTTAAAATACATAAATATAATAGTGTAGCTATAACCAGACTTCACTGATAAAATCATCACATTTCATTTATTTAAAATATTTAAATTTCATTTATTTATTTAAAAAAAAAAAAAAAAAAAAAAATTTTATAAAAATTTATT